ATGATGGCTAGAAAGTGGATTTCTCAAGCTACATAGTAAGACCCCGAGTGAGTTGAGTTTGAATCCTCGCTCTGGCATTGACAGTGCTGTGTCTGCGGGCGATGACTGATCTCACCTCTCCTTGTCCTCAGGTCCTCCTCTCTCAGATGGGGCTACAATGCTTCCAGCTCCTATCAGTCAGCAGAGTCTGGGCTGTGCTGCAGAAAGTTCCCCAAATGACCGTGTCTCGCACACCTGCTACTGTTCTGAGCTCAAGCCCTGTGCACACGGCAGGCTGGCTGGAAGCTCTGCTCTCAGGATCCTCAGTGCAGGAGGACTATAGGCCCCACCTGGACGCGCCGTAAGTCACTTCCGCTGACAATCCAACGGTGGGAACGGGTCACCCAGCCCATTTTCAGAAAGGCCACACGTGCCCATGAAGCAACACCATCTCATGTGCCACTGGGCGTCCCGGAAGGCCCCGAAGGGGCACGATGGGGCCAAGGCTCCTCGGGGACATCGCAGAAACCTCCCAAGTGGTCTCTGGCCTCCTGCAGCTGCTGATTCGCCAGCCCCGGAGCTGACAAGCGCAGAGCGCAGCCTCACCCCTCTGCCACCCACAGACAGCCCCGTTGACATGCCCCGCTCGGCACAGCCAGCACGCCCTGGTATTAATAGCTGATGGTTTTAATACCCTCGACGAGCCAACGTGTGCGGCAATCAGAAGGCGCCTGCCTCCCTCCCGCACGGTGCTTGCTGTGTAATTACGCGTGATCACAGCGCAGCGAGCGCTGATTGCGGCTCAGAGGCGATCGCCTACTTTCAGGCTGGTGGGGCTGGAGCCCTCGGCGGCCTAACGAGGGTAATTGAGGCAGGACTGATTGTGCCGGAAAGCTGGAGGGGACCGAGCCATGAGAACGGGCCGCGTCACACCCCAAGCGGGACGCATTTGCTAAATTTGTTTCCGACGCAATTTCATGGTGATTACACTGATTTCTCTTTAGTAATTGAGCCTGGCGCTGAGCTCAACGCCTGCAGCCCGGCTGTCAGGACGGGCCCATTTTGGAGCAGGAGGTATTGATTATGATTTACAGACCACTGTCAGAGCCCTCGGGAAGGAAAGATAGAGCGGGAAGGCAGGCCGGAGCGCTGCCAGGCTCTCTGGGAAACTCCCTCCTGGATGTGCTGCGGCCGGTTTTCCATCTGGCTCTGTCACTTACCGCTGGGTGCCCCTCAGCTCCCCGTCTGTTGGGG